ACCCCTCCAAAATAACTCCTCTACCAAGCGTATAATGGGACCCTTTACAGCGAGTAAAGGAAAGAAAAGGGATATTTTAAAGTGGCCACGGCTCGATGCCTTTAGAAATAGCGGCTTTTTTATCACCAAGCTAAAGGAAATACGGAAGATTCTAAAGTCATTTTAGCAGTCTGAATCAGATATTACGGACGGTTGTCACACCTTTGGGGGAGTGAATTTACAAAAAAGGCCTAAATTTTTCAGCGAGACCGACACTCGCGTAGAACTCACATGTTCCATGATTGAACCATATCAACCCGCTATTCCTACTCCAACCAGTTTCACCCCTCTGGTTGGTGCGTGTTTAAGAAAGCCGCCAACAATCCCGCCTACAACACCACCGACCCATTGATAACCTTAGAGTCTGGTATGCTTCACATCTGTCGACTGATTTTTGCAACCGTGCTATCAAAACTGATGGCAAAGCAGTCAACATCGAGATAAAAGTGAGTAGGATGACAGCAGCAAAGAGCCACAAGTACACGCAGATGCATCATTGTGAGGTTTCACATGGTTGAAACACCTCACGTTAAAATGCGGGTTTCTTTGCCTTCCAACTAAAAAAAACATTTGTGGGGAGGTCCTCCTGAGACCAAAACATGCACTATTACATGCATATGTCAGCTTTCTTTGAAGATTTGCTTTAACAATTCTACTGTGCACGCACTTACTATGATCAAAGTGTATACGCTCTTTACCAGTGTCGCCTTTCCTCGAATAATCATACCATCAAAGATGCCGGATCCTAGATCCCGCGAGCAAAGTGCCCTATGTTGAATGTACTGCTGGGAGAGATGATTAGCCTGGTTAGGAATTACCAAGCGAAGTCCGCTTAGCGGATTTTAGCCTTAACTGACAGTCCTTCATGTATTTTGGATTCTAGTATGCAAAGTGATACAGGGAATTTGATGGAATGGTTTACACTGCTTCAAGAAGTAGCTGAATTAATGAGAATGTCTTTAATGCGTTTAGCCTTTTTAAAAAAAATTTAGCTTCCCTCACATTACTACTCCGCTAAAATCAGCAAGTAATCAGCCAATTAGTCGACCTATCAACCATGGAATAATTTATTTCGCACCTCTTTTAATCGTTACAAGGAGACTGCCATCTCTCTGCGCGTTCCCCTCATGGAACCCCTGCTATTGCGACAGACATTCCTTTTCCCTTATCATCAACACATTCCCTTTCAAGGTCTGGCCCAGAGGCAAATCCATCACCACTATCCAGACGAATTCTGTTTTGCTGTCAAAACCCAATTGTCATAAGTATTTGCCTTACAACAGCCACTACAAAAGGACTGAACAACGTAACCAACGTCAGACAGGGGATATTCCGCCTCTATCTATTTGTTCGTTTAAGCTCGGCTAAATCATTTGAAGCACAGGACTCGCTACAATCAGTTAGCACCCAGTGATAAAGGGCATGTGCCAAAAGTTTGTGGTGCTGTAAATCATGCGCCAAGAACTCTAGGTATGACAGAAGTGGCGGTTTTGTAAGTAAGGTAATGGACTGCCAATGGCAGAAGAGGTGAAGATTTGACTAACATCTCCACCTCAGCCAAAAAAACAGGCATAGATTTCGAGCTGTCAAACGATTGAAGCGCTTTGCGTCGTTGGAATGCAGTCTTTTTAACTTCCAAATGAAGATGAATAATAGAGGGGCCGCTTCTTGAGAGCGAATCGCGTGCTCTTACATGCACATGTCAACCCTCTCGAGGGCCCGTTTCAACGCCTTAGAAACTCAGTAATAATTACCTGACTAGAATATATCAAAATTGCTTGTTGTATCTTGCCTCTGTGTACCAAGTTGAGTAGGAAATTACCGCAAGCTAGAAGCCACTACATCCTGCCACTCAAAGAACTGGGAGATGTTTCTCGCCCTCGGAGTTGGTGCATCTCCCATCCATCAATCTAATTGGTCAGCCTCAACCACTGTTTTTGATAGCAAGCCTTGTTGCCAGCACGTAGCACAAACTGAAAATGGGTTAAATGGGGAGGTCAAGGTGACACATAAATCTCCCCAAACAGTCGTTTTACGTCCACTCTGACAAGGCCAGTTACTCAGTTTCCAGCGTCAAAACCCCTCAAGAAACAAATCGTCTAAATTATAAGAAAGTTCAACCACTTTCAAGTTTGAGAGAGAACTAGTTTTCAAGTAGAAACTAGCTAGTATATTTTATGAGGGGGCAATTTACCGCAATTGCTCTTGGATCGGGGTTAAACGAAGTCAACAGCACAACTGGCAAAGCTGGAGTGATATGGCTATGACGCAGCAAAATTTAAATGAGAACTTGACAC